TATTTTAGATAGGATTTATTCGGCAAACTTTTGAAGTGACGTCATCAATTTTTTGGAGGGGACGAGTAAAAATATTTTGAATAAAAACTTATCAGGATTATCATAACTGTAAACCATCTGCAATATTTCAAAGGATTCGGTTTTGGAGATTCCAAATTAAATGTCAAAATGTTGTTTCCTAATTTTAATTTTTCTTCCAAAAATCTGGACGTTTTGGGTAAAATCTCAATTCGGAGTCATAAACTACATGTGTAGGACTATGTAATTTGATACGATTTAAAACCCATTTATCATGTACAATTTTGAAGTGACGTCATCACATTAGTGGTGGGGATGATTAGACAAATTTTGGTTAGCGTTTTAATATCTACATGATATACCTAATATAAATACAAAATTTGACAACAATCGGCCTAGTACTTTCGGAGATTATCTGTCTAATAAAAATCCGGGACGGCAGACGGACAGACGGACAGACAGACGGAAACGGGAGACCTATTTCTTCGTCCTCTAGAGGTCATGATATGTTAAGAAAATGCAAAAGTGGCAATTCGTCCGATGGACTCGAATACAATACTTTCTTTGCTTACGCTCGGGAAGCAAAAAACTTTCCATAAGGATGGGATTCTACCCACCAAGACAGAGGACAAGTCTGAACCACGCATTAGCGAGATATCGGCTACATGAAACATGTGGAAAATATTTCACAAAGAAATTTGTGATCAAAATCAAGGCGGATTCGTCAACCACCAGTACAGAAATAAACTATTTTATAAAATTTGGATAACTTTCACTATGCAAAATGATCAACGGGCGTCATCAAATTGTTGGGGGACACATTTACATTCCGTCGTTTCCAAAAAAGTCATATTCCCATTGCTTTTCATTGATCTATGAGAACCTGATTTGCTCATCTTGCCCGAAATGTGTTGGAAACGACTGTACATTACATTAAATGTGACAACCATCGGACGGAGACGGGAAACCTATTCTTTCGTACTCTAAGGATCATGAACCGGCGAGAAAACTTGGAAGTAGCCATTTACCGGATAAAATATAAAATATGAACAGACGTTTTTATTAAACTTGAAAAATTTTGTACAAACAATTTTCAAAACTCATCTTTAAGAAGAATAAAGTGTAAAGTTAGTAAAGTTTGATAATTAAGACGTGTCTGTTATCTCAGTCTCGTATCATATTATTTGTAAAGTTTGACGAAAGATATACTACCAATTTTTAAATGATACGAACTCATGACAAATTCTTCCAGTTGTTACACTGTTCTACATATTTTCCAAATTAGTGGAATTAGAAAAACCAAGGAAGCAGATTATAGAAGAGTCGGGCAAGAATAAAGTTCTAGAAGACTTCTTTCTGTTGGCAAAAGGGAAGAAGATACAGAAGAATTTTAACCACAGTGAATGTAGTAACTAGTGCGCATTTGAGAAGATTCTGTATGAATTCTCTTTTGGGAGTAGAACAGATGTGGATGTGAGTTTTGACTTCAGCATACAACGTCCAAGAACGATTCTATCTAAAAACGATTGAAGACGTGTGAAGAAATTGCTCAATAATCCAGTTCGAAACGAAGAATTCTAGAACATTTGTAAAGCAGAAGCAAAGAAGTAAGAAATACAAGATGGAAGAAGACCTCCTGGAGAAATTCTACATCTTAATCAACGAATATGATAGAAAAGGAGACTTGAATCATGATCAAGTAAGTTTCCAATTAAGGAGAAATTGTAAGGATCTTCTATGACCTTCTCGAACATATCCTGTCGAAGAAATAGCGAGGAACTGGGATTTTTGTTTGTAGGAAGACAAATAAACCATGAACAGGAAAAAAAATTGGTCTAAAGAGTTTAGACAGTACTTCCCTCGCTGTCGGAAACTTGACGACTGCATGCCTATTCTGTTTTTTTTCTCATTACATTTTTGTAGTGGGAATTTAAAAAAAATTGCGATCACGTCATCAACATTTTTGCAAGGACACGTATATCAGTTGGGATAGATGTAGTGTAATACTAAGAATAAAATTATTATATTCTCAAATTTTCGGGAAAATGAATTGGGTCGTTTTGAATATTGATTTGTAATAATCAATAAAATAACGAAACAATTTACTCACGTATACCTACGTATCAGAGGCAACTGAAAATCGTGTATGTATAAACATTCTTAATTTAAGATGACAGGCGTAACAGCATACGTGAGAGTCAAACAGAGAAACTGTAAACAAAACGACCATCGGTTTTATTGCTTCGACTTCCGCTTATTATATAAAACATTGGGTTTTATTTTAATTCTTGACGGTGAAATTCACAATTGGTTGATTATAAACATGTCTATTTCACATTCGCGGAACCAAGTGAGCGCATAAAACAAATGCAGGTCTGTAATGTTAAAGTCGATGTAAATAAGCGTGCTACCCTTATGTTTCAACCGAGTTTTTCTTTTAACAAATTTTGTGTCTACCAAATTGGGTTGGTTGGGGTGTAATACTAATAATAAGTGTTGCCTTTAATTTAATCAATAAAATAAATTGACTTCATTAATTTTTTTGAACCACCTCTTAAGAAAATCTAAAAAATATGAATGGAATGATAAATCACAAGTACAAACTCATCATATTTTTTGCATTTTAGATAAGATTTATTCAGCAAAATTTAAGGGTGACGTCATCAATTTTTTTAGGAGGGATGAACAAATACATTTTGAACAAAAGTTTACCATGCTTATAATAACTTTAAAATATTCCCAAGATTTCAAAGCATTCGGTTTTGTAATTCCTGATTAAATCGATAAAATAAATTCACGCCTTCATTAATTTTTTTGAGTCACCCTGCATATGCAAATCCAAAAATATGAATGGAATGATAAATCACAAGTACAGACTCATCATATTTTGTACATTTTAGATACGATTTATTCGGCAAACTTTTGAGCTGACGTCATCAGTTTTTTGTAGAAGATAACCAAATATATTTTGACTAAAAATTTATTATGCTCTTTATAACCTTAAAACATCTGCAAGATTTCAAAGCATTCGGTTTTGTAGTTCCTGATTAAATCAATAAAATAAATTTACGCATTCATTAATTTTTTTGAGTCACCCTGTATATGCAAATCGAAAAAATTTGAATGGAATGATAAATCACAAGAAGAGATTCACCATATTTTGTACATTTTAGATAGGATTTTTTCAGCAAAATTTTGTGGTGACATCATAAATTTTTTAGGGGGGACGACCAAATACGTTTTGATCAAAAATTTACGATGCTTATGATAATTTTAAAATATCTTCAAGATTTCGAAGCATTCGGTTTTGTAGTTCCTGAGTAAATCAGTAAAATAAATTTACGCTTTCATTTATTTTCTTGAATCACCCTGTATATGCAAATCCAAAAAATATGAATGGAGTGATAGATCACAAGTACAGACTGATCATATTTTGTACATTTTAGATATGATTTATTCGGCAAATTTTCGAGCTGACGTCATCAAGTTTTTGGAGGGGATAAGCAAATATATTTTGACTAAACATTTATTATGCTCTTTGTAACCTAAAAACATCTGCAAGATGTCAGAGCATTCCGTTTTGTAGTTCCTGATTAAATCAATAAAATATATTTACGCATTCATTAATTTTTTTGAGTCACTCTGTATATGCAAATCCAAAAAATATGAATGGAGTGATAAATGACAAGTACAGGCTCATCATATTTTGTACATTTTAGATATGATTTATTCCACAAACTTTTGAGCTGACGTCATCAAGTTTTTGGAGGGGATAAGCAAATATATTTTGACTAAACATTTATTATGCTCTTTATGACCTTAAAACATCTGCAAGATTTCAGAGCATTCGGTTTTGTAGTTCCTGATTAAATCAATAAAATATATTTACGCATTCATTAATTTTTTTCAGTCACCCTGTATATGCAAATCCAAAAAATATGAATGGAGTGATAGATCACAAGTACAGACTCATCATATTTTGTACATTTTAGATATGATTTATTCCACAAACTTTTGAGCTGACGTCATCAAGTTTTTGGAGGGGATAAGCAAATATTTTTTGACTAAATATTTATGATGCTCTTTATAGCCTTAAAACATCTGCAACATTTCAAAGCATTCTGGTTAGCAGATTAAAAATTAAATTTCAAAATGTTGTTTTATAATTTTGATTTTTTTTCCAAAAATCTGGACGTTTCGGGTGAAAAGTCGATTCAGAGTTGTAAACTACATGTGTAGGACTATGTTATTTTATACAATTGAAAACCCATTTACTATGTACAATTTTGAAGTGACGTCATCGCATTAGTGGTGGGGATGATTAGACAAATTTTGGTTAGCGTTTTACCATCTACATGATAGTCTTAATATAAGTACAAAATTTCACAACAATCGGTCGAGTACTTTCGGAGATTATCTGTCTAATAAAATCCGGGACAACAGACGGACAGACGGACGGACGGACGGACAGACGGACGGACAGACGGACGGACAGACGGACGGACAGACGGACGGACAGACGGACGGACAGACGGACAGACAGACGGAAATGGGAGACCTATTTCTTCGTCTTCTAGGGGTCATGAAAGATCGAGAAAACGTAAAAGTAGAGAGTCGGCCGACGGACTCGATTAGAATACTTCCTTTGCTTACGCTCGGGAAGTAAAAAACAGAAAAAATCCGGGACGGCAGACGGACAGACGGACAGACGGACGGACAGACGGACGGACAGACGGACAGACAGACGGACAGACAGACGGAAATGGGAGACCTATTTCTTCGTCTTCTAGGGGTCATGAAAGATCGCGAAAACGTAAAAGTAGAGAGTCGGCCGACGGACTCGATTACAATACTTCCTTTGCTTACGCTCGGGAAGTAAAAATTGAAACAGAATAATAAAAACACGCTAAATATAAAAGTCGTAACTGTGAACAACAACAAATTTGAAAATATATTTTTAATTTTTCACAAAAAATATACAGAGTATTTCTAGCAGCTTGTGGTGCTTAAATGATCAGTGCTGCGCTCAATTTTGATGGTCAGAACATCCTGTTTTAATAAATCTCGTCGAATTTTTCCAAGCGGAGTTGTAGGAAAATCGGACATGAAAAGGATCCTTGCCGGTTTGCGTAAAAGATTTCGGTCCGACATAAACCTGAAAATTTTCCAGATTTAACAAAACACCAACAAATTCTTTCAAAAAATACTTGGTTAGCTTATCTTCGTCAAGTTTCGCATCTGTTTTGACAATAACACAAGCCACTACCTCCTTCTCGTCGCTAATAACCGCAGTATCTTTGACGTAGGGATGTTGCAAAATAATTTCTTCTATTTCGCGCGGAGATTCGTTGGTGCCTTCCACATTTATCAGGTCCGATATAGTTCCTTCGATGAAGATCCATCCACCAGAGTCGTACCTTGCTATGTCACCGGTTTTAAAATAACCCTCTTGAGTAGACGCTTTGGTCAGAGCTATGTTTTTAAAGTAACTGCACAAGAAAATTCGGATGGTTGTTATTATTATTTTTTACCCAAGCATCATGCAGTCGCTAGCAACAAGCAACTCTCCAGAACTCTCCACGTCTAGATCTTTTCTCTTTTCGATATCAACTATTCTGATTTTACAGTTTTGAACCACTTTGCCTACGGTCCCTATTCTTTCTAAGGATTCGGGGTAATCTTCCGGAGGGGTAGCGACCACAATTCCTACTTCGGTAGTGCAATACATTTGGGTGAATTTCACTTTGGGTAGACGATGGCTCAAACGCTTGATATCATGAGAGGTAGTTGTTAAACTACCAATGAAAACACATCTGAGGCTCGATAAATTGAAATCCTGAAATTGACCAAGCAGGTACAATCACTAAATCCAAGAGTGTCAGAAACATAACCTACCCTGACAGCCACATGTTCAACCAGCTGCAACGCCAGATCCGTATTAAGAAACGCATGATCAACCTTCAAGTCGTGAATCAGCTTACACGCCGTCCTCTCCACGAAAGCCCCCGGCAGCACCCTCACCACGTGCGCCTTAAAACACAAACACATCAAGACGACCTGCATCACCCACGATAAAGGATAATAAGAAATGATCTTTTCCGGCAACTCCATCACGTTCAGGAACACCTTGACCTGGCAGAAGATGAAGTGGTGCGACAGACAAACCAGCTTAGGACTACCGTTGGTACCCTGCGTGGCCATGATAAACGCCACCTTCTTCCTCGGCTGGTCAACGCTCACTGGCTTGAACTGCTCGGGGTAGTGCCTGGTCATCAGCAGCTTCCGGAACGGAATGGCGTACTGCTGCTGCTCCCCGAAGTGCACCATGATGGCCGTGATCTCCGACTCGGCGCAGACCCTCTCCATCTGCTTCAGCGTGCGCAGATCGCAGAAGAAGATCTTGGGTCGCAGCTGCCGGATGAGCTCCACGCACTCCTTGTGCTGGAGCTCGGGGTCGATGGGCGCCACGATGGACCCGATGAGCAGACAAGCGAGGACCACGACGGTCTGGTCGGCGTGGCCGCGGCAGCAGATAATGACGATGTCGTTTTCGCCGACGCCGAAGTGGCGCAGCTCGTGGGCGATCTGGATGGACCTGGTGCGGACGGAGCCGTTGGTCTCGGTGGCGCCCGTGACGGTATCTATCTGGAAAAGGGGGGTTGGAAAGGGTTGGAACGGGGAAGGAGTTACTTGGTGGATCTTGTTGATGTGCTCGTAGAGGGTGTCGAGGAAGTGGGCCCCTAAGCCGCCATAGTCTTCGCAGTCGTTGACGGAGGCACCTTCGAGGTATTCCTTAGTGACGCCGATCGTGACAGGTTCCATGCAAAGTAAGGTTTGTAATCAGGAAATTTTGTAGGATTCAGAAGACCTCATAGTGAGGTGAATGACGTTTTGGGACAGCGGTGAAGTGTCACTGTAAAATGACGCGCAGTTGTCAGAGTTAATATTATTTCATTCTACAGCCCCACATTGTTTTATTAACTGTGGTGTTAAGTCAAATCCTTGTTTATTTACTACTCAGAGTGAATCACTGGCCAAAACTAGATGTTCTTGTTCAAGATTCAGTATTTTGAAAACATGAAGAACTGAAGAAAAACAAAACAAACTGTGGTTTGTTAGGTACCTTATTTGGACGTGTAAGTTAAAATTTCTCTTCATTTGCGAACCTGATTTAAAAAAGATTTTCGCTACGCCACGTTATACACAGGTGATATGTTTTTAATATGGGCTTTAAAACTACAGACGTCATAGTTCTCACCCAAAACCGTACTCCAATTAGTAACTTATGTGGCGGCTCTGCTGTCTCTTTTCTAATTTTGCTTGTTATCTAGCCGTCGCAAAAACATCACCTTAGATCCCGGAGCTTGAAGAACCGTTTCGGGATAGTTAGAAGGGTTAATTAGAATAGCGGTTGATTTGACTTCGTAGGTATTCTGTTAATATATAACTAACACAAGTTGGTCAAGAGCTAAGGAGATAAAGCTAATTGGGGTAATTTATTCCTAAAGCTACATAATGATTACAGACAGTTACAGACGATAATAAATGATAATATACATGGACATTAAAATAAATTTGAAGGAAACGGGTAGTGTTCTGTACCCTCATTGTGAGCACGTCACAAAATATAACAAAGGATTATTTGGGGTTTTTTGAGTTGCAATACTGGAATTGAAGGTACCATTGCAATCGACGAAAAATATGAAGACGAATGGGGTAATTTATTAATCTAACCTAACCAGTCGTAACGGATGGGGTTTCCGGCGTTAGGGAAGTATATTTTGAAGGAAAATTTAGACTGAATAGTCGTCGTAAATGAGCACATCCATTTACGTTTCAGTTTAAATGCCATAAATGAACTACTAGTAATCTCGACCGAGCAATTAATAAGCGAGCTATAATGTAAGTAATACTTAAGAGAAAAAAACTTCATAAACAAAAGAGTGAAACCTGAATAAATAAATTTCCTAACACGTGGTTTATATGAACAATTTCATGACTGTTAAATTGCGTAAGAACCAGGAACAGTTAAACATCGTAACATGGGCTGTGATTTACAAACAACGAACAAAATTTATACTACCTTACGTGTCGACATCGGCGAAAGTGAACATTCTTAATTTATTTTTCAAATTGGGACACCACAATATTTCAAAAATTTGCATCTAATAACACTAGTTTACAAGGTTTTATATCCAAATACAAAAATAGTTGAAGCTAAAGGATTTGGGTTCGGGAAATCCAAATCTGAAAGCAGAAAAAATCCATCAGGTCAGGTTTTTGAGATATGGATATAAACATATCCCTTATTTCTTTTCTTTGATACAACTTTTGTAACTTTTTTTATTTTTAAATGTATATGAACATATAGTTCTTTGAGCAAATTTGTATCATTTTAAAAAATCATTTACGTAAATAAATGACATGAGTGTCAATTTTTCAAGCTACAAGATTGTCATCAATAAATCATTTTTTCGCCTATTTTACTGAATACTCCTATTTTTTAAGTATTAATTTTAGAATATTGGTTGCTTTTGATTTTTCTACGGGAAGTGATAATAAAAACGTAAGGTTGGCCTCATAAAGATCTATAAAAATGATACAAATTTGCACAAAGAAATAATAATAACAATAATAATAAGCTTTATTATCCAACGAACAGTTAAGTTCAAAAAGGACACAATAAATTTAATTACAATAAATAAAAACATTTAACATACATAACTACTGTAAAATATATGAAACTAGAAAAGTAAAATGACAAAATAACAAAGTGGTGCAGTGATTTCTGGAAAAAAATAAATTTACAAATAGACAAATAAATTGATCAAGTAGGCACTATTGGTAACAATAGTGCCTATTTGATCAAAGTGCCTACTTGATCAATTTATTTGTTTATTTGTATACAGGTTTATCTTTAAGAATAAAGAAATTACAGGGATTGCATTAAATAAAAGCAACACCCAGTATATATTATAAACATTATGACTAAAAATTAAAAATGATTAACACTAGCGTTTCTTTTATTGACAGTAGTGTCAATTTCCCTTATAATAGACCAACAGTAATCCCCTAACATATTTTCGTCCCAAAAACCTTGGTACCTTTTTTTAAAGCATATTTCAACAGGTCTTCCCGCTGTAAGTGTTATAATTTTACCGCAAACGTAACAAAACAGATTTGCACTTACTTTGTACGATCTCGAAGATATTTTTTATGCGACAATGGTGCATTAACATGAATCAGTTTAACACTAACGTGAAGGTAAAACCAAAGTTCATTATTTTGGATTTATGAAAAACCTGATAAAGATAATCCGTTTTTGCATTTGTTATCAGCAAGTAATTTAGAAGTAAAAAATAATTGTTTTATTTTTGATTATGAAAAAAAGTTTAAATTTGTAAACTAGTGTAATCTAATAATTATTGTTAATAATTGAGTATGTACTGAAATTAGCACGTTTGTTTTTATTATCCATACAAAACCAAAAATTTCAAACAGACTATTCCCGGTCTAAACTATGCAGGTGCAGAGAGCTAGCCTATGTGTTGTCAAATTTTAGGAGTAGAATTGTATATGGTAAAACTCTAATCATCTCTATCAACAATTTGATGACGTTAGCTCAAAATTTGGCTTAGTAAACGCTATCTAAATTTTATAACATAATAATGTGTTCCTGTACTTGTGGTTTATGAATCGACCTTGATTTTGTTTGTTATTATAATTTTTATTGTTTAATCCCATTAGTAGTAAGGTTGTTCTTTAATACAGTACTGTTATTACCTTCCCTTTAAGACGACACAGATATTTATCTTTTTATTTAAGGTCTAGCGGTTATCATAAAAAATAAACTTCGCAAAATCAAATCAAATGATATGTTGTACTGTACTTCAGGGGAGGGGGAAGTCGGTCTAAATGACCTTGGACCAATTTTTTTTATGATGCAGACAGACTGACGCACAGATAGACAATAACAGACAGACGGAAACGGGAGAACTATTTTTTATACTCTAATGGCCATGAAATGTCAAGAAAACCTGAAAATAGTCGTTCGTCGGATGAACCCTATTACTTCACTAGATTATACTCGTGAAATAAAAACAGTAAATAATAATTTAATTAACAGCATGTATATATTTTTATAAACAATTTACAAGGCTTTTGTAACGAAAATTTAACAATGATAGTAACTTAATTTAAATATGAATTATAAAATTGCTACTAAAATTATGAAACATGTCAATACTGTTATGCATCAGAACAATTGGGGTCAATAGGAATAACGCAAATATCTTGACCGTCTGTTCCCTTTTTATCATTTAGTATTGGTGCGACATATTCGTAGTTATTTTTTAAACGTTCAAACTTCATTCGAAACTGTAAAACAAATCCGGCTGCAACATAAATGATAATACCACCGCTTAAGGAAACCCAAAACATAACAGTTGTACCTGTTCTTATGTATAAAAAACCAACAAGGAATATTTGTTGCAATAAAAACGAACACACCAAGAAAATCATAACAAAATTTGTATGTACCGAACAACTATATACCTGTGATGTACAACCACGTTTATGAAAATTACAGATATTGTATTTATCAACACAGTACTTTATCGAGACATATATGAAACAAACAATAGTGATCAGAGGACACATTAAACAATAACTAAAGCATACATTGAAAACAACAGCAGCATTACAAGCGTGAGCGGCATACTGAAACTCACCGCATATATTCTTACGGATGCTAGGTTCTTCTGCCTCTGATTTGACACAAATAAACGTAAAAATATAACAAAAGAACTCCCAAATGTGTAGTAATTCTATAGCTATTGATGTGAAAGCGAATTCTATGACAAACATGAAGAAAAAAAAACTTTTGTCAACTACATAAGCACAATTCCAGTTTAAACTATGATTGGTTGATTTTAAGAATTCTGTAAAAGCAAACCTATCTGTTAAGCCTAAAGCTGGTAAAACGAAATCTATGCTTATTAAAACCATATAAAATATTGCTAGTACTAACAAATTTCTGTTCTTGGACTTAGTCCAATATAATGCCCACAACTCAGATTTTCTAATAATCAATGGTGTGAGAACGCGGTAGATCGAATATACAAAAAGGGCCACTAAATTAAGAACTATTGGATTAACGTGAGTCACCGGGAAATATGTTTTTAAAAAGTCAAAAATGTGAATACAAATGTCGAAAAAAAATATTAACAAGAATATAGAAACATATACTACCACTCTCATAAAGATCCTCCATTTAAGAGAGGTTTCCAAATTTTCCCAGATTATGTTAGACGCTGGCTCGGCTAATGTAACATCCCATTTGTCGCATGAACCGCAACATGTTGTCAACTTTTTCACGGTATCTTCAGAGTCTAAAGTAACAAAGGCAATTCCAAGAGGATCCTCTTTAGTTTTGTTTCTTTCCTGTTCCACTTTATCCGAAAAATCTTGTTCTCGTTTCGTGTAATATTCTAGTGCTTCTTCTTTGGACCACAACCAAAAATGTCGTCGTCTGATGTCTCGTGAAATTTCATTACAGTAACCCTTGGCTTCACCCATCAGTTTTTTTTGTTCTACTAGTTCCGTCAGTTTTTTTATTTTGTGTGCCAAGTTTATGTCCTTTGTTGGGATATTAAGTTGATATCGTTTTTGCAAAATGGCTTGTATTGAACTTATGTTTCTTTCTTTTTTGGTAATATTTCTGATCATTATTGTACGACACGAAGAAGGAACAAAGTATACAATTTTGAAGAGTGGAGTCGAAATGGACAGTAAGAAGAATAGCCAACTTATTGAAATGTGTGCCCACAAGTAGGTTGACTGTGGTTCCAAGTTGCTCATAGTGGTGTAGCTAAAAATTGATAGTTCTTGTAAACTTCCCTGCATATTTATCGGCAAAATAATTATTAGTGATATCAACATTACTACAAATGATGCTATAACCAAATTCCACAGGAATGTCACGTATTGCTTTGCTTCTGGACCACAACGAGTTTCTACACTCTCGTGCCCCATGTTTAAAATGGAACAAAATGTCATTTCTTCTTGGTCTGATTTACAACAACTGCTGAACTTTCTCGAGAAATAGTATAACAATAACAATCCGATAAATATAATTAAATTTTGTACTACTTGGTATTCCATGTTGACGTATTCGTTGATAGCACTTGTCCTGTTAACTGCTAGACAAGTATTACTTTCAGTTAAGAAAAATTCAGAAAACTCTGAATATTCTTCAGCGCTATAGCCTGCCATCGTCTATAATATAAACATTACTCATACCGTTAATAATATCAACTACCACTTACTTACACGTATCAGTTACAGCTGAAGGGTTCTGAGCACAACTGTAGAATTAAATTATTTTGCAGTATTGTATTTTGTTAGATTTAAAAAAAAAGGGCGGAGTTTTGTCCCAGATAAAATGTTCCATAAACTATCACCCCGACACCTTAACTTGTTATTATCTATAGATAAAATGAGGCCGCCAGATCATGGCCAAGTCAGATCGTTATCGGAATGATCGTTTATCGGACACTTTATCTGGGACATGATAAGACCGGCCGGACCGGCCCTAAATAAGCTTGTGCTGGCCGAATTTAAATCAAAGTTTTCGCGCTAAATTTAATTAACAGCGGCGCGAAATCGCATTTGAATAATTTGAATTTGAAAGAAAAAAAAGTCAATCACAAAAAAGGAAATCGTTAAACATAGGCAACCTGGTGCACGGAAATGCTTGCTTGGTAATCGGACCATTTAGCGCTAGGGGTTTTTAGTTACAGGGTTGGTTGCGTGGTAGAGACAGGGCGGCATGGCGTAGGGTCAGTCGGAATGTGCTTGTGTGAGTGTAAACACGTGGTAGGAGCTAGTTTAAATTAGTTGGTTTGGTAGTTAATAAAATAGGAGGAAGCCTTTGTTTAACGACAATCAATCGTAACTGACGTCACTCAGGTGTCCCCAACCCGCGCGGTTAATCCTTGCGGCCTTTTAATTGAAATTTGCCGACTTCCGGTCAACGCGAAACACGTGCTGTAAATTTATTTCATTGTTTGTAAATTCAACAATTAAGTTACTTTTTCTTAATCGTCAGCTAGTGCAAACACAATTTAACAATCAGGATTATTTAAATAAACCACTTGCTAGAAGAAAGTTCATGAAATTCACTTAGTCAGGAAAACACCTCATTGTTTCATTACGAATAGGTTTCCGGATATACGTAAGTGTTAGATTATAACACTTCTTAATTCTTCTCACAAGATTGCTAATAGTTCATTTACGGCAGTTAAACAAGTTCATTATACTGAGAAACTTGCGGAGGTTATGATAATTTCTTCCCTTAGGTGGTTATCATCGTTATCATGATTAATTCACCGCGGCATGCTCTCACAACGCTACAGATTGATTAATTAATCGAGGCATGCCCTCACAACGCTACAGATTGATTAATTCATCGAGGCAATTCCTCGCAACGATTTGAAAATGTACATCACCGAGACGCTGAGGTTTTTGCGCTGAGGAGTAAATCTTCGCAGCTTCTTTCCTCCTGCGAGGGGGTGCCGTGCTCCCCCTCCAAAACAATTTTGTCTATTATTTCTTGCGCTCTCGAATCACATGCAGTATATGCACACTTGCATGAAAGAACGTCTTCCCACCATTTTTCAAAACCCAAAAAAAAACACACAACGTAGGTTCCCATTTGTTAGACGATCACAGCCAAGGCCAAATGTTGAATTTTTCACAGGACGAGAATAAAAATCTGAATAATTTTTTTTTTGACGACATGTGTACATTATCTCTTTTAAGAATTGTTCAGCACAAAATTACCTTTCCGACCATGTTTAGAAAATATATGTAACAAAAACACTGTTCTACTGTGTAATTAATAGTGTATCTGCCGAATAAGAGCTATTTATCTGGAAGATAATTTTGTCAGGTGGTAAAAAGACCCCATTTGACATTATCCAGTAGATAAAAATTATCAGGAGGTGAAAAGACCGGCCCTTCTAATCAGTGTACTTGTTCAGATGAAAGATAATATTTTCAATTCAGTTTTAATCAAACTGTTTAAAGATCCTATTTCACCATTAAATGAAGTTTGAAGGTTTAATCATTGAAAATAATCGAGGTTTGACTCCACGTGTTTTTTAAAAATCAGTTCGATTTATCTCAGCAAAAAACGAAATGAATAAATAAATGGCTAAAAATCTCGAACCGCTTTGTGAAATAAAAATTTTTAAATGGCCTACAAGTCCAGACCAAATTGAGAAAAGAAAAATTTAACATTCCTGTAACCTTATAGGTATCAGTAGGTTTTTAATTTTTATTTCCAAAAACACTGTTTCAGATTGACTTTTCAAGAGCTTGCTTTATCGTACCCTGTGATTTAACGAAAACTTTCGATTGGGCCTTTTTGAAACAAACAGCTTTATCTTTCGCCTGAGAAGTAAACATATTTTTATAAATCAGCAATGCAACAACGCAGATCAGTAAATCGAAGAAATTATAGAGACAATCAAAAGGGGAAACGCAAACAATAGGTAGGTAATCAAAAATTACAGCATGACTTTTAAAACTGAATAAAAATGTTGCCTTTAAGAAATAACGATCTATATCAGTATATGTTATTGTTACTTAATAATATTTCTCAAATAAATAATGATAAACAAATGTATCATAGATTACATCTCTCTTATGTTGCGATATTTTGCTTAGAATACTGATGTACTTGTAGATTGCTCTGTGTGTTAAAGTACGTAAGATCTAACAACAAATACAAATTTTGCCTTGAAAAAATAGCGATCTATATCGGTATGTATTATTGTTATTTGATAACATTTCGCAAATAAATAATATTAAACAAATGTTTCATAGATTAGATCTCTCTTGTCTTGCGATATTTTGGTCAGAATACTAATTAGGTACACGTAGATTGCTATGTGTGTTAAAGTACATAAGATCTGAACAAATCTAGAGCAAACGCCAAATACATACTCAAATGAATATTTTAATTTATTCTCTTACTAAAAAATTTTATTTTGCGATTTTTTTTAGTAAAATATGTACGTTCGAAATATTAAAGTACAAATCATATTATGCGTATGTTTCAAGTGAGTTTTTTCATGATAAAATTTTGTGTCGACCTCATCAACATTTTAGCACGGATAAGAAGATGCCTTCTGTTACAAAAATTACAAGTACGGCATTTAGAATGTAAACAATACAGAGTTCAAAATTTATAAGTACGGCGTTCAGAATTTACAAAATACGGCCTCACGAAAAATGTATTTAAAAAATTGGTCGAAGGTTCTGGATTCTTAATTTATGGGGGCTGACCGTAGCCAGCCGGCACTTAGGCCTCGCCTTTGGGCCCATTGTACCTTCCCCAAGTCCATATCAGGGTGTTTTCCCGCTCCTCTACTCGTCAAGCCACCCAACTGCTTGAATGTACTTGAGTAATGCAGAGGGTGGAAACTCCCTGATATTTGCCATACTAGGCCAGATGTCCCCTAGTATGGATTCCCTGTAGGAGGCTAGGGCTGGACACTCACGAAGAATGTGCTCAGCTGTTTCCTCTTCTTCATTGCATCCACGACAGATTGGGTCTGTTACCACCCCTATCGTATATAGATGTTTGTTAAACTGGTAATGTCCCGTAAGGAATCCTACCAGTTTACGCAGTTTGTCCCTTGAAAGTGAGAGATAAAATTTCGTCAACTTACGGTCTGGTGTCGCCATACAAGCTCTACTATGCCGACAGCTGCTCAACTTCACCCATATCTGCTCATGGCGTCTCTGGGTATATTGCTTTACGAGTTCGTTCGAGAGGGCGACCGAAGGCGTGATTGCCGGTTCGGGTCCCCAGAAGGGCATACGCGCGGCTCGCTTCGCCATCTCATCTGCCCTCTCGTTTCCTTCGTTGCCACTGTGTCCTTTGATCCAACAAAGTTCCACACTATTCCTCTGCGTTACATACTTTAGCGTTTGTCTGCACTCCCAAACCAGCCCGGATCGAACCATACAGCTGTCCAGGGCTAGTAGTGCAGACTTGCTGTCAGTAAGTCTGCGTATTGATTTGTTGCCGATTTCACGTTCAGCAATGATTCTAGCTCCCAGCATTATTCCCATCAGTTCTGTTTGTAAGACAGACGTGTGGGTGCCGAGAGGTACACTGATTTGTGCGTTCAGTTGTTATTTATTTATTATTTAAAAAATTGGTCGAAGGTTACTTCGACAGAACTTTCCTCGCCCCTGATGTGCAATAAAAATAAAGAAAACATAAAAAAATGTAAGAGTCGAATAAATGAAAATGTTTTAAAATCTAGATAATAATTGAAAAATGGAAAAATTTTAAAATCGTAAAATTGAAGTGAAAACTTTTAAATGTTTATTATTAAATATTTAAAATAACTAGAAAAACTGCAATTAAAAAATTCAAGAAACGAAAAACTGAAAAATCTGATACTGAAAAAAATCCAAAAATTGAAAAGTTTCACATTGACAAAAAAAAATATGAAAGCAGAACATTGAAAAATTGAAAAGTTAAAAATTCAAAAATTCCAGAAACTAAAATCGCAAAATTGCTAAACCTAAAAATTGAAACTTCCAAACGTTGGAAAATCGAAAAATTGTAAAAATAAAGCAACCAAAAAACCGAAAAGAAAAACTGCATCGAAAAAATGAAAAAATAATTGAAAAATGGAAAAATTCTATAATTGCGACCATATTTTTTAAATTAAAACTAGAAAAATTGCAAATAAAAAATTGAGGATACGAAAAATAACTAATTCAAAATTGCAAACCGAAAAATTGAAAAATTTCATATTGAAAAAAACAAAAATTAGGTATAAAGTTCCGTTACATATAAAATAAAATAACCAATGGTCCTTAGCTCCCACTTATAAAATAAAATTATAAAATCAGAACATTAAAAAACCGAAAAATTGAAATAATGCAGAAAATAAAAAACTGAAACGAAAAATTGTAAATAAAAAATTTGAAAAATTAAAGAACCGATAAACTGAAAAATCAAAAACTCAAGAAATTTTAAAAAACGCAAATCGAAAAATTGAAGAAACAGGAATCAGAAAAGATTAAAATTGACTCATTCATTGATTTTTTTGACCCACCCTGTATAAGTAATTCTAAAAACTATGAGCGCGGTGATAATCCACATGTATAGAGTCATAATATTTTTTATTTTAGAAAGGATAATTGAATAAATTAGGTACAGATCTTAATAACAGTACACTGAAATAGTGGAGCGTAAAATTTCCATTAGAACATTTTCTAAAAACCTGTTTAGGAAATACAACGAGGCGTGTACCTAATAATTTATAATTTTTATGATATTTTCAAATATGTATTTAATAACGACAAGGGAATTGTTTTTAAAATAAATCAAAAAAAAAATAAATTTAACTTTGCTAAAATTTTAATGCAGTCTGATATGTAAGAGATCAGTAAAAAATACGATCAAAGGCAGCCATGCAAATTTGAAGAATTAGTGTACACTCTTTGAAGATAAATCTTTAAAAATCCATGATTGTCTTTGATTATATTTTTTATAGCGCTCGCCGTATATATGGAATACTTCTGCCAATTCTCACTTGGTTTTTTCTGAATATATTATTTGCCACTCCCTTTAATCTGCTTTTATCAGTTATGTTTTTAACATATAGTAATCTTGAATTAAAATATTTAAGTAAAAAATCAAATTAATTAAAAATCGTGGATGAGCCAGGATAATCCACCTATGAATTTTATAAAGCAGATCTCATATTTTTCTTACCTATTGTTATTCTCCTTATAACTTTCGAGACGTTTTTAGACTGAAATGAATAACTCTCTTACGTACTACAATTTCAAAACGACTCTAAAATAGGGGTATATTTAGAAATGATGGAGGCGCCGGGATACACTTTTGAGTATTTTTAGTATTGTTAAGATTTACATGAAAAAAAAATTGGTCTACAGAGTTTAGACAGTACTTCCCTCGCTGTCGGAAACTTGACGACTGCATGCCTATTGTGTTTTTTTTCTCATTACATTTTTGTAGTGGGAATTTAAAAAAAAATTGCGATGACGTCATCAACATTTTTGCAAGGACACGTATATCAGTTGGGATAGATGTAGTGTAATACTAAGAATAAAATTATTATATTCTTAAATTTTCGGGAAAATGAATTGGGTCGTTTTGAATATTGATTTGTAATAATCAATAAAATAACGAAACAATTTACTCACGTATACGTATCAGAGGCAACTGAAAATCGTGTATGTATAAACATTCTTAATTTAAGATGACAGGCGTAACAGCATACGTGAGAGTCAAACAGAGAAACTGTAAACAAAACGACCATCGGTTTTATTGCTTCGACTTCCGCTTATTATATAAAACATTGGGTTTTATTTTAATTCTTGACGGTGAAATTCACAATTGGTTGATCATAAACATGTCTATTTCATATTCGCGGAACCAAGTGAGCGCATAAAACAAATGCAGGTCTGTAATGTTAAAGTCGATGTAAATAAGCGTGCTACCCTTATGTTTCAACCGAGTTTTTCCTTTAACAAATTTTGTGTCTACCAAATTGGGTTGGTTGGGGTGTAATACTAATAATAAGTGTTGCCTTTAATTTAATCAATAAAATAAATTGACTTCATTAATTTTTTTGAACCACCTCTTAAGAAAATCTAAAAAATATGAATGGAATGATAAATCACAAGTACAAACTCATCATATTTTTTTGCATTTTAGATAGGATTTATTCAGCAAAATTTAAGAGTGACGTCATCAATTTTTTTAGGAGGGATGAACAAATACATTTTGAACAAAAGTTTACCATGCCTATAATAACTTTAAAATATTCCCAAGATTTCAAAGCATTCGGTTTTGAAATTCCTGATTAAATCGATAAAATAAATTCACGCCTTCATTAATTTTTTTGAGTCACCCTGCATATGCAAATCCAAAAATATGAATGGAATGATAAATCACAAGTACAGACTCATCATATTTTGTACATTTTAGATACGATTTATTCGGCAAACTTTTGAGCTGACGTCATCAGTTTTTTGTAGAAGATAACCAAATATATTTTGACTAAAAATTTATTATGCTCTTTATAACCTTAAAACATCTGCAAGATTTCAAAGCATTCGGTTTTGTAGTTCCTGATTAAATCAATAAAATAAATTTAGGCATTCATTAATTTTTTTGAGTCACCCTGTATATGCAAATGGAAAAAATTTGAATGGAATGATAAATCACAAGAAGAGACACACCATATTTTGTACATTTTAGATAGGATTTATTCAGCAAAATTTTGTGGTGACGTCATAAATTTTTTAGGGGGGACGACCAAATACGTTTTGATCAAAAATTTACCATGCTTATGATAATTTTAAAATATCTTCAAGATTTCGAAGCATTCGGTTTTGTAGTTCCTGAGTAAATCAGTAAAATAAATTTACGCTTTCATTTATTTTCTTGAATCACCCTGTATATGCAAATCCAAAAAATATGAATGGAGTGATAGATCACAAGTACAGACTGATCATATTTTGTACATTTTAGATATGATTTATTCGGCAAATTTTCGAGCTGACGTCATCAAGTTTTTGGAGGGGATAAGCAAATATATTTTGACTAAACATTTATTATGCTCTTTATAACCTTAAAACATCTGCAAGATGTCAGAGCATTCCGTTTTGTAGTTCCTGATTAAATCAATAAAATATATTTACGCATTCATTAATTTTTTTGAGTCACCCTGTATACGCAAATCCAAAAAATATGAATGGAGTGATAAATGACAAGTACAGGCTCATCATATTTTGTACATTTTAGATATGATTTATTCGGCAAACTTTCGAGCTGACGTCATCAAGTTTTTGGAGGGGATAAGCAAATATATTTTGACTAAACATTTATTATGCTCTTTATGACCTTAAAACATCTGCACGATTTCAGAGCATTCGGTTTTGTAGTTCCTGATTAAATCAATAAAATATATTTACGCATTCATTAATTTTTTTGAGTCACCCTGTATATGCAAATCCAAAAAATATGAATGGAGTGATAGATCACAAGTACAGACTCATCATATTTTGTACATTTTAGATATGATTTATTCCACAAACTTTTGAGCTGACGTCATCAAGTTTTTGGAGGGGATAAGCAAATATTTTTTGACTAAAGATTTATGATGCTCTTTATAGCCTTAAAACATCTGCAACATTTCAAAGCATTCTGGTTAGCAGATTAAAAATTAAATTTCAAAATGTTGTTTTATAATTTTGATTTTTTTTCCAAAAATCTGGACGTTTCGGGTGAAAAGTCGATTCAGAGTTGTAAACTACATGTGTAGGACTATGTTATTTTATACAATTGAAAACCCATTTACTATGTACAATTTTGAAGTGACGTCATCGCATTAGTGGTGGGGATGATTAGACAAATTTTGGTTAGCGTTTTACCATCTACATGATATTCTTAATATAAGTACAAAATTTCACAACAATCGGTCGAGTACTTTCGGAGATTATCTGTCTAATAAAAATCCGGGACAACAGACGGACAGACGGACAGACAGACGGAAATGGGAGACCTATTTCTTCGTCTTCTAGGGGTCATGAAAGATCGAGAAAACGTAAAAGTAGAGAGTCGGCCGACGGACTCGATTACAATACTTCCTTTGCTTACGCTCGGGAAGTAAAAACATTAACCAAACATGATATTCTGGATTAAATAGTATCAGGCAAAGAAATGGAAGGATCATAATAAACATAACCCATCTTTTGCTTTTAAAGCCCAATGTAACTCCCGATTATTAGTTTATTTTAATTATACAAAATTATACATCTTAGTTATGCAATAACAACACATTAATTTAAAGCCTTTTTGTAAAATAATTTCTTCAGATATAGCCAACCCAACGCTGGGCCCCAGGACACAACCAAGACGACATATTAATAGCGTAAGTATGAACTCTCGTATAGTAGGAAACATCCTGCACGATTTTCAGACGCTTGAAATACAAATTTAGATGCAACTGCACACTCAGCACATCTAAATTTTCAAGTTGATGTACAATGTCGTCGAAATATTTACAGCTGTCAACGTCTTCTGGTTCTGCGTCGCTTGGTAGAAGTTTAATCGCCAGTAACACATCACTAATAGATTTTTGATGAATCAATAAGTAGTAGTAAAATTCGTACTTCAGTGGATCACTCTGGCAAAATTTTTGAAGCAGCTTTTTCAAAACATTCCCAAAAATCTCAGTAACTGTCTCGCCATACCTTGCTATTAAACTGTTATGCAGGACAACAACAGAAATTGCGAAATCCTTCGGAACTTCACTTTTACATTTCATGAGTGATAAGGTTACGTAGGGTTCAAAAATACTCCCCATTTCGAATATACGTTGAAGGAGTGATAGAAGAGCCTCGATTAAAGTGTCGTTATGGAGCGACTGTTCCATGTATGTTGTAAATAACGTCGCAATGAAGTCGTGCACACGTTTAATCGAAAACTGCGCTGAGAGTTTATACTTTTCTAGCGCATTTGTAACGATGTTCATGTTCTCTTCTAACTTAGAAGACGCAATGAGATATACACTGAAGGGTTTGTTAATTTCAAGACCAGAAAACAACTCAGTTTCAATCACTCTGTCCAAAAAGTCATACGGAAGTTGTAATAGTGTTTCCTTTGAGACATTTTTGAATAACAAACCTTTGTACTTGTCATTTTTGTGAAGGATCGTCCAAACTTTCTCAAAGTGTTGCGTCTTGTAATCGGTAGGAACTTGCTTGGTTGCAATAAGTTTTATCGTAAAAGAGCCAACACTCTCTGCTGTGGATAACTTCGTAGTGAAAAGTTCCCAAGTTTCTTGGTTTGAATTATTTAAAAAATACTTAAAGCTAACTTTAACAGCCTGATCCAGTTGACAATCTCTCAAATTCTGTGTTACGACCTCTTTGTTACATATTAACGAAATAAAATAATAAGCGTGATGTGTCAAAGTTTTCTTCATTTCATCAAATAGAGGGGTTAAGTGGTTTTTTGGAACTTTGAAAATAATACTGTATAAAGGACCCAAACAAAACGGAATATATTCACCATCACAGAACTTCAGTAGTAACACCAAACTGGCAGCCGTTGAGTTAACATTCTTCATATTATTCAAAAGCGCCATCTGTATATTAAATTGTGCATTGTTTCCATCTACCTTAAATTCTGCAGGTTTGTATGTTTCAACTACAGTCAAAAAATCTTTTTCTGACAATACACACGACAAAAGGCGGCACTTTAAAGCCGTTAAGTCACGAGTGAGAAACTGAATAGCCCCTTTATCAATACTCAAGTGACTATAATATTTTAGCGACGACCAGAATTTCGTATCCTTGGCAAGTTCGCCATTTTTTATTGCGAAGGACAAAAATGAATTTAGGTTCTTCTGAACTGATTCAGGTTTATACTTCAAATACCACTTCATAAGGGATGGTGTGGCAAATTGAACGTTATTCCAGAACTCTTGCCTCAACTTTTCCAGATCTTGCGTTGACCCTTTGGAACATAGTAAAACTTCCAGAGCTTGAGGGAGTGCTGCCTCTTCATTTTTATTTTTCTTTGAGAGAACACTGCGTAAAGACTGTAATAATCTAGGATACTGAAGCACCTGTATTGTTTCCTTAGGATTTTGTGAATTGTATTTCAGACAAGCCGACAGTAATTTACAATCTAAACTCTCTATATTGGTTGTAGTCACCTTAGGAACTATTTCAATAAAAGTGGTTAAAAATCTTTTCTGAACACGTGGATCTTTGATAAATGCCACATAATCAGCAGCAAAATCATTCTTACCATAGAAATCCACAATTTCCTGCTCAATTGGTTTTTTTAACCTAGTGAGAAATTCAATGTACTTACAAAATATTTCTATGGTGTTGGAATTATACAAAGTCAGGTCAGGTCTGGCCATGATCTTTTTTATTTCGTGCCAGTGTTCTTCACTAAGTTGGCTGTAGTCACAGGATTGCCACAACAACATCTGGGGAAATTTCTGTTGGACGTCAGCACTGTCATTTTTGAAACGTTCGGTTACAAACTTTGCAACTTCTAAAAGAGCGTCGTAGTTTTTATCTATGAAACACGACTCCACTAAAAGTGCAACGTAATTGCCTCGTTCGAAGGGACATCTGGCAAAATTAACCCGTTCCTTGACTATCTGGAGACAACGCGCTGGAGAATAATACTTAAGGTACGCACCTGTGTCATCGCCACCTTTTAGTTTAGCAAATTTCTCCCTTTCTTGCGAATCGGGAATCATTTCTAATAAATACTCGTCGATTAAGTGTGGCCGCTCCTCTAGTTTTTTCGCAAAAACTTGATTATATGTGGTTATCATTAAATTGTATTGGGCTCGTCGAGGGTAGTGTTTTAAAAGTCTGGAGCTCTCTGAACTCGGCGAGTCGTCGATCTTTTTCGGGAACAGTTTTAGATAAACGGCGTTAAAATCGGGCCCTAGTTGTTTAATCAGGCAGCGAGGGTGCAAATTTTTCACATACAATTCTGGGTGAGATAAAATATCCGCTCTTTTAAGCGCAACTAATTTTTTTGTAATCCTTTTGCCCAATTTAGTCTTGAAGTTGTACTTCTGGCATAAATCGTGAAACACATTTAAATCTTTTTTTGCGATGTAGTGAAATATAGGATTAAAATCCAGAAAGTTTTGGTTTTCTTCATGTTTCACTCGTTCATCAAAATAAAGATAAATCAGATGCGGATTTTTATCAAAGAGCGATTTTAACTGACGCTGTTGTAAAGTAAGGTGATAGTTTTTTAAACTGTTTTCAATTGTAGCACAACTACAAGATGTCAGTACAATTGTAGCTAATGAAATTCCATAAATCTCCAACAATGAACTAAAAATTACATTGGCTTGTTGTTCTTCCAGAAGTGGGGCTATCTTTTTTAATACTTTGAACGTCAATTTATAGCTGAGAGTGGGTACAATCTGTGTAAGAAATCCTGGCCCAGAATCAAGAAGTGTTTGTTCAAAAAACCATTTTTGATTTAAAATTCGTTTTATTGCTATGGGATTTTCCTTTGTGAATACTTCATCTGCAAGCTCTTTGTACTTGCGAAAGTAAATTAAAAATTCTATGAAGGAACGTTGTTCTAAGTAGGTTTGAGGATGCAGCTGTGTTACTACAGTGTCGAGTAATGGGACGTTGTCTTTAAGAATAGAGGCACTGTTTAGAAGTTTTCGTAGATTCTTTTTTCTTTCGGCAATTGTTACACCCTGTATGTTGTGGAATTGGTTGGCAAAATGTGCTACAATTTCTGCCGGTTGAGTCATGGTGTGGATAAATAATTTGGACTGTTTACATAACCTCTTGAATTATTTCTATAATACGGAAAATAAACCCAATTACGTTTTTAACATATCTATACTTAATAGTCAGTTTACCTTTTGTGTTACCAAATTTGCTATGTCACTCCTTTTTTTGTTTTTTCTTAGCGATGATTTTTTTAATTAATGCTGTAATCAAAACAACTTACAATAAAGTCAATATAGGCAACCCCAGTTAACTTTGGAGTTAAATGTGTTGCATAATGATTAACTGCTTCATTTAAATTAAATTTGTAATAAAACTCAAGAATCAGTGTAGATAATACAAATTTTATGTTTAAATAACCATTGATTTGTTTTAAATTTTGCAGAGAACCAGATCTCAGTGAGTGAGTACAAGCAAGAAATTAAATTTAATAATAGGACTTAGGACCACAGTTTACCATCTGCTAGTAACTCCAAATTTCAAAAACAAGTAGGTAAGTGAAACGAGAGACTCGCACTTTCGTATTTTATGAGCTGCAAAGCGTCAAGAAAATTAAACAGTAGAAATACGTATTTGTTGTGAATTAACTGTTAATATTTAACTATTTCAGTAAATTTAGCTTAGGTAATTGTTTTAAAAAAGTCCACTATGGACTAATATACATGTTTCTTAGTTAGGTGAAAAAATTTTTTTAACCAAACAACTGTTGTTAATCGACCGTGTGATAACCCAAACATCCCGCCTTAAATTGACATGTGAAAAAGAATTAAAAGCCCGCGAAAAATTCAAAAATTCAAAAATTTTGCCTTGGCTGTGATCGTCGTACAAAATGTAACCCCACATTGTGTTTTGAAAAATGGCGGGGTGCGTTCAGATGCAAATGGTGGACCCCAAGGTTGGAAAAGTACCGCTAAATAAAACAGAAAATTAATAGAGGACACAAAATTTATTTATTCCTCCACTGACCGTCCCTAACTCCTATTCTAAATAATTATAATAATTCTGAGGTTCCAGGTATTCCTGTTTGGAAAGAATTTGAAAATGCGTTGGAGCCTCTAGCGTCTTTTCTTATAATAATTTCATTACATTTCTTAGAGGATACGTCATTTGCTAAAATTAGTCTTATCCTAGCAGGTACATACTAGCCCCACCCACTCATCCTCTCTTTTCTTAGAGGGTACGTCATTTGCCAAAATCAGTTGTGGTGACCGAATTTAAATCAAAGTTTTCGCGCTGAAACTGATTAACAGCGGCGCGAAATCACATTTGAATTATTTGAATTTGAAAAAAAAAAATTCAATCACGAAAAAGGAATCGTTAAACATAGGCAACCAAATAGACATGTCGGGGTTAATGCATGATCATTGAGTTAGATGGCAGCACGTAGCGCTAGGGAGATTTCGGTTAGAGGGTTGGTAGAGAAGCTGCATGGCGTAGGATTATTATGAATGTGCTTGTGTGAGTGTAACCACGTGGTAAGCGCTAGGTTTAAATTACTTGGTTTGGTAGTTAATAAAACGGGAGGAAGCCTTTGTTTAATGACAATCAAACATATTTTTCATAATGATACAGTTGTCCCCAACCCGCGCGGTTAATTCTTGCGCCATTTTAATCGGAGAAATGCGGACTTCCGGCCGACGCGGACACGTGCTGTAAATTTGTTGCTTTGTTTGTAAATTCACCAATCAAGTTAGTTTTTCTTAATAGTCAGCTAGTGCAAACACAATTTAACAATCAGGATTATTTAAATAAACCATTTGCTAGAAGATTTCATGAAATTCACTTAGTCAGGAAAAACACCTTATGTTTAATTACGAATAGGTCTCTGGATGCATATGCGTAAGTGTTACATTATAACACTTCTAAATTCTTCACACAAGATTGCTAATAGTTCATTTACGGCAGTTAAACAAGTTCATTATACTGCGAACTGGCTGGAGGGGTTTAAAATGTTTTCTTCCCTTAGGCGCTTATCATCGTTATCATGATTAATTCATCAGGGCATGCCTTCACAACGCCACAGATTGATTAATTTATCAAGGCATGCCTCACGACGCTACAGATTGATTACATCACCGAGACGCTTTTTCCTCGCAACGATTTTAAAATTTACATCACCGAGACGCTCTTTCCTCGGAGCGATGATTGGATATTTTTCTGTTTGTTTATTATGTGTTTTGTTGGGGTAACCAGTTCGCGGTATTTTAAACTTTCAAAGTAAATTGTTTTTTTTGAAGTAACCGATCACTTAGATCATGATATAATTTAACCTAATGTAAACTCTTTGTTTGAATCATTGATAAAGTGTGGCAATTATTAATCTCCTGTAAATTTTGTTAACTCTGCAAATTTTCACCTCTTTAATCTCACAATTTTAACCTCAGTAATTTTCATTTGTTGTATAATTTTAATTGAACGTAAATTTCATGTTCTACAGTTTTAACCTCACATAATATTTCTATTTGTACAAGTTTATTTCACACCAGAACTTTTGTTTCATAAATCCTTGCTAAGTTTGTTTTGAAAATACTTTGTTAATGAATGTTTCTATCATAAATTGTTTGATGTCCAATTTTGATCTCACATAAGATTTATTTTTTTGTTTAAAATTTCACAAGATTGTATGGCGAATTTAAATGTTGTTTATTGCTTTTTGAAACTTTAACACTTGTTCAGTTGTTGTTAATACCAGAGTTATGAGAGATTGAATATTTAAAATGGAATTGAGGTTAAATTACACAGAAAACGTGGCAGAAGCGAAGTTCGGTTCCTAGTCGAGCTGGCGAGATTTATCGTGTCACCTGTACAAGTCCACATGTTTGGACAGATTCAGGAGCGGCCGTCGATGTTGTAAAGTTCTCGGCTTCTGTCCATAGCCGAGATCCTCTTGCGGGTCTGGCGACCGTAATGGCCTAGTTCCGCAGACCACGTTCGTAATGGAGATATGTGTGCGGGTAGGCTTTGTGATAGATAGAATCACCGTCGTGGGGGGAGAATAGCCCCAGACCGGTAGCCCAAACTCCGCTTGTGCTACAACACCCCAGGGGTACTTTTGTTGTGCTCCTGTTAACTGCCGTAACTTTAAAATCTGCCGCCACACGCCCGTAATAACTTGTGTATTTGCATCCAGTTACTTAAGTCGGATTTTGCTTTGTTTTTATTAAATTTGTGATATTCAAATATTTGCATTGATTCCAAACAGATGTATAGGATGTTGCGTTTGTTTGTTTTTCATATGTGTATGTCTGTCAATTCGCGAGTGTCCCTTTTTCATATATCTTAAGGTGTTTGAAATGTAATATGTCCGTGAATAATAACAAGGGGGTTTTTGCGCTGAGGAGTAAATCTTCGCAGCTTCTTTCCTCCTGCGAGGGGGTGCCGTGCTCCCCCTCCAAAACAATTTTGTCTATTATTTCTTGCGCTCTCGAATCACATGCAGTATATGCACACTTGTATGAAAGAACGTCTTCCCACCATTTTTCAAAACCCAAAAAAAAAAACACACAACGTAGGTTCCCATTTGTTAGACGATCACAGCCAAGGCCAAATGTTGAATTTTTGAATTTTTCGCGGGCCTTTCAAACTTTTTCAAGGTCAATTTAAAGGCGGGAAGATTGGGTTATCACAAGCTCCAACCGTCCTTTCAATTTGCAACTGTTAGAGGTCTTTGATAATAATCAATCATCAGCTAGTACAGCTGTAAGCGAGAGAGTGAGAGCTATTGGTATTGTGATATGAATAACAGAGAAAGACTATTTGCACAAGCATTCTGAAAATGTATTTTGAAAGGTTATTTTGTGCTGAATAACTATCTAATAAGACATTATGCCTACGTCGTCAAAAACAATTTTTTTTGGAGATTGTTCATAGATAGTTCCAGTTAAAGGTGTACTATTGCATAATGGGAATAAATATCTAGTGTTGCGGACTGCATGCTCCATACAAACTGCAGAAACATATGAGAATATTCCACACTTGTTAAACTCTATTAACGACAAAAAGTTTGAGTGTAATTTGATGGACGATTTAAAAATTGTGGCTTTAGTAACTGGCCTCCAATCTGGATATACCAAGCATATGTGCTTCTTATGCAAGTGAAATACAAGAGAGAAAGCATTTCAACATCTGAAAACAATATTTCCTAAGCTTTCTGCTGCTAACATAAACCAAGTTAAAACTAAAATATTAGAATGAATTTCAGTTTTCATATTATGTACGTTTTCTATTTAGGAATTTTCATTGATGCGGAAAAATTTACTTGGGAATCAATTAGCTTAGTGACATAGAATCTTAGTGATCAGTGAATTTTTAGGAAACAAACGTTCCACAAATTATGTCTCATTTAAATTTCTTTGCTGATAATCTTTTCATTGAGAAATCAAGAAAGCCGAAGAAAATTTAAGAGAAAAACCCAAGTGTCCATTCTTTCCGAATACCTACATGAGGCTTTTATAAAGAGTTAGATCTTTCTACATATTCTAGGAAGGTTAAATATTCGTAGACGTAATTAAATATCTGACGACAGAAATCTGTGGAACATTTTTTAGTGCTTCTTGTGCGTTTTTCTATGTAAAATTAGAATTCACTTCATTTTTTCTAATTGTTCACAGGACGACAATAAAAATCTGAATTTTTTTTTTTGACGACATGGGTATATTATCTCTTTTAAGAGTTGTTCAGCACAAAATTACCTTTCCGACCATGTTTAGAAAATATATGTAACAAAAACACTGTTCTACTGTGTAATTAATAGTATATCTGCCGAATAAGAGCTATTTATCTGGAAGATAATTTTGTCAGGTGGTAAAAAGACCCCATTTGACATTATCCAGTAGATAAAAATTATCAGGAGGTGAAAAGACCGGCCCTTCTAATCAGTGTACTTGTTCGGATGAAAGATAATATTTTCAATTCAGTTTTAATCAAAGTGTTTAAAGATCCTATTTCACCATTAAATGAAGTTTGAAGGTTTAATCATTGAAAATAATCGAGGTTTGACTCCACGTGTTTTTTAAAAATCAGTTCGATTTATCTCAGCAAAAAAAGAAATGAATAAATAAATGGCTAAAAATCTCGAACCGCTTTGTGAAATAAAAATTTTTAAATGGCCTACAAGTCCAGACCAAATTGAGAAAAGAAAAATTTAACATTCCTGTAACCTTATAGGTATCAGTAGGTTTTTAATTTTTATTTCCAAAAACACTGTTTCAAATTGGTACTTTTCAAGAGCTTGCTTTATCGTACCCTGTGATTTAACGAAAACTTTCGATTGGGCCTTTTTCAAACAAACAGCTTTATTTTTCGGCTGAGAAGTAAACATATTTTTATAAATGCAACAACGCAGATCAGTAAATCGAAGGAATTATAGAAACAATCAAAAGGGGAAACGCAAACAATAGGTAGGTAATCAAAAATTACAGCATGACTTTTAAAACTGAATAAAAATGTTGCCTTGAAAAAATAACGATCTATATCAGTATGTGTTATTGTTAC